TGCGGGGTAAGTTAAGACAAAAGATATAACCCAAGAGAGATTACGCATAATATAGATATGAGAATGGACTAACGTGTAGTTAGTAGTTAATTCAGGAAGAGCCTAGCCATGGTTAAACAAGAGGATACAGACAAATCAGCAGGTTGTGCAAGATAAACATAGTGAAACCCAACATAGGGAATTCAGTCTCGCAAATATAATGACATTGTAATCCTTGAGAAATATTCAGATAGGAGTTGGAGTAATTAAAGGTAACGTATAAGTGTTACGGAAATAAGAGAGAGTGCCACTAAGGAGACAATCAAAATTTGATTTTAGAAGTAACCCTACGAGAACAAGGGCACAAAGGTATATAACTTAGGATATTTGTAGGCGAGTAAGAACATCAAAAATTCCTTCAGGTATACAATATAACAAGCTCGTAACTTTACAAGAGCCAGAAGGTCTCCTTAAGTACTACAAAGAAAGACTATTTGAGGAAATAAGGAAGAAAGCTTCAACTTAAGCATAGTGACATAAGGAAGAAATGGTCTTGTAACAACAGTCTCACAACAACATTGTATGCACTCCATAAGAAAGTGGCACCTATCGTGGCTAATGAACAGGAAGAAAAAAAAAATAAAAGATGATATTTTGGCTATACATCGCCCTCTTGACCTCCAAGAGCATAGTGACCCCTAACTCATACGCTTTAGCTTCTGTCAAGGCTCCCCACTTCATCCTATGTTGGCTATACATCGCCCTCTTTCTCCTCTTCCTCCTCTTCCTCGTGATCTCAAGGCCATGACCAGGAGCCTATGAAGGGTCGAGAGGTTCTCACTCGGGATGACCTTGCAATCCGTGCAAAGACCTCTATCGTACTTCCTGTAGAGTAAATAATCAATCTAAGTCTCGGCCACCGAACTCCGGAAGGTGACCAAGTGCTCCCTCTTCTTCGGAAAACTCGAGTTTTCTATCACCAAATCAAATGCTCTAGCAAAGTCTATCAGAGACGTTCCTCCTCCATTTCTATCTCCAAAATCAAAGCCAACATGCACATCATCGTATCCCCCAGACGTCGTTCCAATGTGGCCGTTGAAATCTCCTCCTATGAAAAGCTTCTCGGTATGCGAGATAGCACGCACCATCTCATCCAAATTCTCCCAAAAACGCCTCTTGACTTCCTCATCCAAGCCTGCTTGGGGTGCGCACGCACTGATTATGTTCGAAGTAAAACCTCCAAGAACTAGCTTATAGTCATCAACTTGACATTCACCCTCCTAACCTCCACAACTAGTTCACGGAGGTCCTTATCAACTAAGATACCTACCATGTTCCTGTCCACCACCCTCCGAGAATATCAAAGTTTGAAACTGCTCACACCCCGCCCCTAGTTCCTATGTTCCAAGACCCCACTCTCAGCCTAGTAGCTCCATTAGCCCTCAAAAGGGAATTAAACGTGCTTCATAATATTGTTGGTAACTTGTCCTTCAAACGCATCAGAGATAAGACAGCAACTAATTTAAATACATTACTACGTCAAAAATTTATTACCAGATTAAATCAACTAATCATGTCTATCAAATTTTTGTGTTAATTAAGATGAACATGACAAATTTAACACCAGTTTGCATGGTTGAATGAGTTACAATTTTATGCATCAAATTATCAACTCATACATAATTCCTACGTACACGAACCATCAACTTTTAATCACATTCTAAGCATTCTAGAATACTACGACGACAACAATAATAACAATAACAACAATAATAAAAGCAATTATATCTCAGTCTGAAACAAGTTGGGATCGATTATATAAAACCTTAGTGAACATATTTTTCCGATTAAAATTCATCTCAGACAAGCATTATCAACAACAACAACAACAATAACAATAACAATAACAACAATAAATCCAGTATAATCCCATATGTGGGGTCTGGGGAGGGTAGTGTGTTTCGCGGATCATACCTCTACCTTGACAAGGTAGATATGTTATTTCTTATAGACCCATGGCTCAAGAAAAGATGAAAAAAGAAGCAGTAGCAACAATAAGAAAATAAGATAACCGAAGCTAAAGAAACAATAGCTAGTAATAGAAATCTAAGAATAAAAAAAATACAAAACTAACACTAATACTATTGGTACAAAAAAAAAAACGCTTGACTATCTGCAAGCCTTCTACCCTAATTAATTCTCGACCTCCACACCTTCCTATCACGCAAGCACTAGGAATAGGAAAATAATGACACGTCGTATAAAAACAAGGAACTAGGAATAGAAAAATGCCCGACTAGTACTGCTACTACTGGTATCCGATTATTTTTTTGTGAACAGATAGTCTATCAGAAATAGTCTCTCTATCTTCACAAGGTATAAGTAAGATTTGCGTACATAGTATCATCTCCATACCTCACGTGTAGGATTATACTGAATATATTATTATTATTGTTGTTGTTATTGTATTCGGTCCGCATTGAGGTTTGACTAAATTCGAGTTCGCGCCGAAAAATCTCATATTGGGGGTAACCTGGATTTGCGCCAAAAAAGTCTCACATTAGGGAGTAAAGCCATTCCTAATAAAGGCGACTCAATAAGTAAGGCTCAAACTTGAGATCTTTTATCAACGATGGATGACTACTTGCTACTTGCTGCTCCGCAATAATCCTTATTGTGATAAAATTTTATAATTATAAATTTATAATTGTTCTGAATTTACATTCTAGTCGTTGTATGCAAAACAATATAATTTACTTTGTCCTGTATTTAAGGTAACTTGTTGGATTTCCTCCATAGGATAAATTTTGTTAATCTCACTTGAAATAATTTTAAGTTACTAATGATATAAAATCTCGATTGGGGGTTGTTGGCATTTGGGAAAGTCAAGAGGGACTGTATGTACTGCTGTTACAAAATACTCCATATTTTTTGTTCAACGGCACGTGCAAAATGGTCAGATTCAATATAATGGAATTTAAAAGATTCCTTCAAATCAAATTAACCTTTTTTTTATTTTCATACAGGAGCTTTATTTTATTAGTTAAATCTTTTGAGTACATCAATAAATTACGATTTCAAATTAAAGAGTAAGAGATAAACATTTTCCTCGTACCTTATCCTATATAATTACCATATATTACCAACCTATTTATACAACAATAACACAGTAAATCATATTCCACCAGGAATAATTTCCTTGAAAAACATTTCACTACATGAATTTAGCCGAATTCAATAGTTTTAGCAATATATATATATATATTAAATATGTACAAATATTAAATTTAGAAGCTAAAAACTCAAACGGTCAGTAAATTCAGTGACAATCCCGAACTCGTAAATTCAAATTATGAAATAACTTCTGCTAATTAACACATACTCCCTCCGGTCCACAAAAAGTGATCATTTTACCTTTTTATTTTGGTCCAAAATAAGTGTACATTTACATAATCAAGAATGAATTAATTTTATTTTTCTAAAATTTGCCCTTATTTACATATTTTAATGTGTCAAGGTAATAATTATTTAAGATTAATTTAGTAAATACATATTTTGTTTCTCTAAGAATTCATATTTTCTTAACCAGCGTTCCAAAGGTAAAATAAGGATGAAGTATTAATTTAGTGGGGCTAAACAAAACATGCCCTTTATTTTAGTGCTAGTACCAATTCACAACATAGAAGTTGCTCATTTTAGTTGAAGAAAATTCAATCATTTGTCTTTATTTTTTTTTATTTTTTTTAAAATCCCTCCCAAAATTCAATCATTTGTCTTTAGTACTCCTAATAATAGTTACCTTAAAGTCTATATTTGAGGTCATTCTATTTTTGGCTAGACCTAAAATTGGGACCTAACTATACATTAGGCCACGTCACTTTTTGGTCTTTACACAGCAAATATGGAGTAAGGGGAGTTTGCTTTATTTAGTTATATATACCTGAAGTACAAATTGTGTTTTTTGACAAGTTTAGTTTCAAATAAGAATTTAGGGTACTAAAATAGTATTAAGTGAAGTATTCAAACTATTCTCGATATGTTTAACACACCCTAATAATTATTTCATCAATAAAATTAATTATCGACAGATATAGGACAAATTCTGTAGGTTCAGTTGAATTCATTATTTTTTACTTTTATTATGTATACATATGTTAAAAAATCACGGTTATTTACTATTGATCCTAAATCTTGAATTTCCAAAGAGTTTGTCCTACACGAAAATACGAACATTTTCATAATGGCATTTAAAATTTATTTTGAAGGGTCATTATCATCTGATATGTTATATGAAAGTGTATAGGTTGTCGATTATATTCAACATTATTCAAAAGGCAATTATACGTGCATCGGACGCATCGAGATAAGACATCAACTAATTTAAATATATTACTACACATCAAAATATTATTACCAAATAAAATCAACTAATCCAGTGTATCAAAATTTTGTGTCAATTAAGATGAACATGTCAAATCTAACTTGTCTAACTCAAGTTTGCATGGTTGAATGAATTACACTTTTATGCATCAAATTATCAACTCATACATAATTCTTACGTACACGAACCATCAAACTTTTAATCACATTCTAAGCATTCTAGAATACTAAGACAACAATAATAACAACAATAAAAGCAATTACATTTCGGTGTTAAACAAGTTGGGGTCGGCTATGTAAAACCTTAGTGAACATGTTTTTCCGATTAAAATTCATCTAGACAAGCATTATCAACAACAACAATAAACTCAGTATAATCTCATAGGTGGGGTCTGAGGAGGGTAGTGTGTTAAACGGACCATACCCCTACCTTGAGAAGGTAGAGATGTTATTTCTTATAAACCCATGGCTCAAGAAAAGATGAAAAAAGAAGCAGTAGCAACAACAAGAAAATAAGATAATCAAAGCTAAAGAAACAATAGCTAGTAATAGAAATCTAAGAATAAAAAAATACAAAACTAACACTAATACTACTGGTACAAAAAAAAAAAAAAATGCTCGACTATCTGCAAACCTTCTACCCTAATTAATTCTCGACTTCCACACCCTCCTATCATGTAAGCACTATACAACCCAAAAAAAAAGAAAAAAAAAGCCTAAGAGCATTAAAAATACTTATATTTCCTACTGGCATAAAAATCTCTATCAAGGAATTCTAAAATATGAAAAGTTTTTTTTTGGCAAAAATGGAACAACAAGAGCGGAGAAGAAAAGTATGTACCAGCCAGTAATCCAAGAAGCAAATGGGCCGAAGTAATTTCCAGACAATTTAGCACTCCAATAGTAAAGCCCAGCTGAAGTTGGATAAGCTGAACATATTTCAGCCATGGCCAGGCCCACAATAAGTGTCATTAAGCTAACTATGGGCCAACCGTAAACAAGAGTTATAGGCCCACCAAAAGTTAAGGCCTGATTATACAATGTGGATATGCCCGTAAGAACTGATACAATGGCGAATGTAAATGAGAAGTTCGCAATGAACCTGTTCAAACAGATATGTCGAGAATTTAGATCATCTCGAAATTTAATAAATTCATTAAATATTCACAAAGAATATAAAAAATTTCAAGGAAGTCCGCATCATTCTATATTTGAGAAATACCCTGCTCAAGCCATTGAAATTTGAATCATGGAGAATTATCGGAAGAAAAGAATCAAGAGAGCAAACACAATTGTACCCGTAAAGATTCATTGATAAAATTATTTTTCTCTTTTAAAAAAACATATTCAAACAGATGCGACATTAGGTGAATTTTTCTAATTTGCATAAACTTCTATGGATAAAATTACTCAAAAGATGTGTTGGTAAAAGGTAGTGAGTAGTCGGTAGGTTAGTTGAAATGCGCACAAGTTGATCTGGAATACCTATTAATAAATAAATCAAAACAAATAAAGAAGAAACTATAGACAAATTAGATTTATATTTTACAATCTATATCATGTTCTAAGATTTTAATTTTTATCAGCCCCTGTCACTATCAGAGGAACTTCTGTCAAGGACTTAAGGTTCAAGAAAATACCTATCTGCCTTTTCATTGTCAAGGTTCAAGAACTAAATATTTAATTTTTTTTCATTAATACTGAGGGAATCAATTGGAGCCAATCAAACCAATTTTTGGGTAAAGAAGAAGAGAAAAGCCTGCTTCTATGGTTCCACTGAAATATTAGTTTCAACTCGAATTATGTACTAATTATATGAAGAAAATATCACATTCATTCTAAATTCACAGACTCTATATTTTGACAGAAAATGTAAATTAAGAAGAAACAATAGAAAGAAGAGATAAAAATAAAAATAAAGAAGGAACTTACGAAAGGCCACGATAGAGTTCTTGTTTGTAACCCAATTGTCTGAGACGAGAGTCATCACTTGTAAAAATTTTGTTTTGATTATCATCATTAATAACTTCATGATAAGCAAGTCGATGATAAGAACCAGCTGATGATAATGCTGAGCCTTCTGCTTTCATCTTTTTTCCTCTATCTTTGTTTTAGTTAATTTCTTGAACCAATGATCAATACTCTCTCTCTATATATATATTTGGTCCCTCCCATTTGGTTTAATTGGCATGTGCCAATTAACTTGGTTGTCAAAGGTTCTGGGGGGCCAATAAGTTTGGTATATCTAACTGGTCCAAGAGAAAAGTGGTCTGTGATGAAAAATAGAGATGGTAACAAGTCTTTTCATAAAATATACTATAAAGTATCATATGAACTACTAAGGGTGTCAAGTGGGCCGGTCCAGGCCCGGGATCACGGGCCAAATGGGCTAAATGGGTCAGGATAATTTGGCCTGGTTTTAGTGGGTCTGGGCCGGTCCTATGATTTGGGACCGTTAGGCCCGGGACCATTTAGCCCGCTAGGGACCGGATCGGTCCCTTAGCGGGCCAAACGGTCCCAACGGCTATATTTTTATTTTTTTTTATTTTTTTTTTAAAATATAGCCGTTGGCTATTTATAAAAAAGTCATTTAACCCCCCAACTTTGTTTTAACCTCAAACTTTTTATACATTTAATATATATATATTATACTATACTATATATAAGATGTATATATATATATATATATATACACACATACATATTATATCGATATATATATATATACTATACTATACTATATATACATCTTATATATAGTATATAAGATGTATAT